GCGTCGGCCAACCTGCTGTTATCCTGTTTGCTCGTTGTTTCTTTGCTTCTTATTGTTGAAAATTGGATACTTGCCAAGACTTCTATGCTAGAAGTCGATTCTTTTACTGGGCCGTTAAATTTTACTGGACTTTCTGGTGACGGTGTAATCTGTCGGAAACCTTATGTTTAGCGCTTTTGAAACTTTTTCCGCTGACAAGACAGTAATTATTTTTCCTCATCCTTAGAAATTCTATTTTGAGATTCATAACCTTCAAGTTTCCGGCCTCAGATTTCTTCCCCCCGCCCTCCCGGGCAATGGGTATCCGTTATGAACCTAGCGTGTCTGACTTTTGGAGCATACTATGTAATGAATTGCATTGTCTTGTTAGCTTAAGTAGTTTATACCGATCCTTTATAGGAGAAATTATTGGTCCTATACATAGGTACCTTGCATGAGTTCATGGGTATTTAATGTTCCTTTCTAGAAAAACACCCTTCTTGTGGATTTCCGATGTAGGTTATTTATACATGCTTTTCTAAATAGACGGTGTTAAATGTTAATTAGACTTAGATATGACAATCTACTTCAATTTTAAGACTATTTTAATAAGACAGCTGACTTTTCTTAGTTTCGATGAGGTATGACTTATATTTAGGATTGAATGGAGTATACTCTTAGTCCTAATCTTCAATGAGTATGAAGCATTGTGGTATTTAATTATTCTCATAGGCTGCTTGGACTTTCAATTGAACATTATTTCCTTGTGTAAGAGTTGTTTTCAGCTTTGTTCTTTTGCACAGAGTGTGTATATATATTAGGCTCTTGGAAAGAACTTCTTGCATTGGTTCTCAATTCAAGTTTTCCCCCCCTGTTATCACTAAATCCTTCTCATGGTAGAGTCGAAACACTTTTTTCCGAGATACGGGTTGCTGGAATTACAGAACTTTGGCAGCAAAGTTACAAACCTGGTGTCATAAGTATCTTAAATAGCTGTAAATCAAGAAGATGTTTATTTCAGACTTGAGCCTTCATTGATTTTTATGTAGACAATAATATGGATGCCTTAAATACAATTCTATAACATTTCAAACATGTACTTCCACTTTGTGATTTGTCGGCCCGTTTGACTTTCTCAAAGGGAAGGCATGATAACAGCATATAGGAAATTGCACTTCAAAAAGTCATCGGAGACAAAGAAAATATCTATCTATATCCGTTGCTAAGAGTGACAGTGACTAGTGTACAAACTCAATGCAACCCTTAAGTTGGGAGGAAAATTTAATTTGTCAAATATAACCAAACAATATCCTGACATTATTTGTTTGGCTACCCTAGCACAAATGTCTGTCACATTGCAAAAATCTGTCCATCACATATGATGTTATGGATAAAAATATTTCAGGGATTGAATCTATGAGAAGGCTGTTGATGAAGATAAAATTGTCATTTGCAGAGAAATATACAGGTTTCAAGAGTCATCGCAAGATAACAATATTAAGATGGATTGTTTGATTCTGCCTGATAAAACTGAGATTCCAGCAGGGCTAGATAAATCCCCTACTTCAGTTGTGCGTGTGAGTTCTACAGTGATGAAAAAACTTGCACGGCTGCAGTCAACTGATAGTCTTGATGCCATGGCCCTGATGAATATCCCTACCAGTTTCTTCAGTTTAGATGACAATCAAGACACAGCAGATTGTCGGAGGTGGTTTCCATCTCCTCATCGGATTTTAGTCCTTGAAAGGATTCAGGTGACAATTATGCCCTGCTTAATTTAACCATTGGATCATGGTGTGTTTGGTTCTTTCTGATTTTGGGAGCATGCAGCTCATTATGCTTCTGTTAGTGTTGTCACCCCTTCTTTTGGTTATTATAAGTGCTTCTTCTAGAAAGCTACTTTTTGGGTTGGCGGTTAGTGGAGGTGCCTTTTAGAGTCAGTATTAAGGAAGCTGCATGAGACCAACTTAGAATACCGAGTTATTCTATACCATTCAATTTGTAGTCTAGTGCATATTCTTGCGTAGTTTTGCTGAAGAGCTGAAATGAAAGTTCCTATTTCCGTAGTTGAAATTTCCTTGGCAAAAGGGGTAGTTATGTTATCCTTGTTATAGTTCGGATGAGGTGATGAAGAAGTTGAATAAAATATGATTTACTCTAGTTGCCAGAAGGGGCTTGAGCTGGACTAATTTTGGGCTGTTTCATCTGTTACCTTTTTATTTGCAACCACTATAGTATAACGATGTTGCAACTTTAAGAAATGTGCATGACTAAGAGAGTTGTTCCCTGCAGGATCCTGGTAACCTTGGTACATTACTCAGATCAGCTGTGGCCTTTGGCTGGGTAAGGACTGCATTGTAAACCTCAAATCATTCTCCTCTTCCATCCACCCAGGTCCTTTTTTTTTATTTAATTAAACTTGTAATTGTAATTTTTTAATGCTTATTTGAATGGTCTCTGATTCTTATGATTGCCAGCTAAAGTGTATAGGAACTTGTTTTTGATAGACTTGATTAAGTTGCATCATTTCTTTTTGTTAGTGAAGAATCTGCTGGCTTTAATTTTTTATTGACTTGCTTCCATGCTTACATTTTACAAAAAACATGTGATGCCTGCAGCCCTGAAATTTAATGGTTTTGTGTGGAAGGAAAAAGGAAAATGTAATAGAAGCAGAGTGGGTTAAGATTAACAAAAATTCGCCTCCTTGGAAGCAAACCAGGAAAATTCAGAAGATAAAATTTTTCATTTATTTCCCCAAAAGGACCATAAAAATATTCCATTTTTGCTAGTTTGAATTTTTGACTACCTTTAACTTCACTGGCCAAATTACTTCTCCACGACTTATTTAGTCAATTGACAAACTTATTGCATAGAAACCAGTGTTGTAACTGACTCGAATATTTGAAACTTCTAATAAACAATAAGACAATTTTTCTATTCTGCATCAAGTTATAGAATGTTACTCTCATTTTTCTTTATCATAAAATCGGTGATTTGGCATTAACAGTCTAAGGAATTCTAGTGCCACCCAATTCTCATTTTAGTTCACCGTGAGACTTCTTTCTCTTGTGCACGTACAATATATTAGAAGAACTCCTGTTTCATAACATACGTCAAACAAAATTGTTTTCTTGCATCATCTGGACCCAACAGAGTTTACATAATTTTTAATACGTCTTAGAGGACTTGACTTGCATGGCTATTGTTCAACAGGACGGCGTTTTTCTTCTTCCTGGTTGCTGTGATCCATTCAATGATAAAGCTCTTAAAGCTAGCCGAGGTGCTGCCTTTCAGCTACCCATAGTTTCTGGCAGTTGGATTCATCTGGAGTCTCTTATAGGGCAATTCCGAATGAAGTTGTTAGGTGGCCATCCAGAGGATGAAGGGGTAGCCAAACCGGTTAGTCGGATGTCTCCAGGCTTCTGCGATTCTGTATCGGATAAGCCTCTGTGCTTGGTTTTGGGTAGTGAAGGAAGTGGGCTTTCAGAGAAGTCCATGGAAGCATGTGAGCTTGTCAGCATTCCAATGGCCGGAGAATTTGAGTCTCTCAATGTTTCAGTTGCTGGTGGGATTTTCATGTATATGCTGCAGCCAAAGTGTAGATGATCATGTTCCATATTATAGTGTGTCACTTTTTGGTTCATGATTTGATTTCGTCTTGCGATAGCATGTAAAGGTCCATTTTCATTCTTGCTCTGATCCTATAGAGGAAATTTTTTACAGCAAAGTAAAATCCATCTTGCCGCTTGACCATTTTTTTCACTAAACAGAAGTTCATATGTGTAGTTTGGATTTGAGTCTTATCAAGATCTGGGCAGGCATAGCAACTTGAAGTTGAAAAGAGATTGAGATGAAATGGTGGATAATATTTCTGACGCAATGGGTCTCAATTTTGTTTATTTTTCCTCCTTGTATTTCAAGAGGGGATTTTAGATCCCATTACTCTCTTTTTTCAAGTGCCACATGAGTTGATGGGAATTAGTTTTGGGGTAAGGTGCAAAAGCATCCGTGAAATGTATCCTAATGCGCATTTACCTAGGTGTAGAAGCATATATGAATCTTCTAAACTAGAGCACATGAAGATGAAAGTTTTGCTGTTTTAGAAGATCCATGGGTACTTCTGTACCTGAGTAAATTCTTTAATGCCAAATACGCATGGGGAAATATTTCATGTGTACCTCTTCACCTTAACTCTTCAGTTCACTATAAAGTTGTTTTATGGCAAAAATTATGTACTTTCTTTTAATCAATAGTCATACTCCATGTAAGCTTTACTTTTGGAGAGAATTGTGATTCAAAATATAAATTTTATTTTTGAGTTTGTCTGAATTTTTTTTTTTGTCCTTAATTGATCATGTTTAGTACTCACCCTCTTTTATTAATATTACTACTATATATTCTTTTTTATTCTTTTTCATTTATTACTTCTTTCATTTAGCCTCTTAATAAATAAATAAGGGTAAATTTGAGAGAAAAAAATATCGTTAACTTATTTATTATTTTTAACTAATTTTAGCTGTTGGTTTGTTAAATATAATTTGATTATTTGAAGTTTATATATATGATTGGAGGAGTATTATTTTGTCAGTAGACAAATCTCATAGCTACTACTCTTGAAGTTAAAATTGTTTATTATAAAAGTCTAACACTTGCTTTTCCGCTGGTGTGGTAAAAAATCAAAAGTCTTCATTTATAAGCCATACTGGACTCAATTAATTCATCAAGGAAAAATATCTATAGTATCTTTGGTTCTAATTATAAAATCTTGTCTGTAGAATACAAATAAAGTTTTATAATCAGAATTAGTATAAATAAAGCCTTGTAATTAGGAGAAGAAATAGTATTTTTTTAATGACTAATAATAATGTTAGCATTTTGGAGAGCTCGAAGAGGAAAAGGAAAAAGAGAGCTAGAGACTGTAGATGACTCGCAAAAACAACCAACAACAAAATAGGAAATCAAAACACTAACAGAATGCTTAAAATAAAGTTGCGCGAACGCGGCAATGTCAGAAGTGAGATCGGAACAATTAAAGAGGCTACCGGTACCCATCTGCTCTTTTCTACTTTCTCACTCCATCTGAGATACAGCAGCTTCGCTTCACCACCACAATCTCAGCGATATTCTTTATCCACATCCCATGTTGATGACGTTCGGCAAGCAAACTCAACAGCAATCCTCACCTTCGAGTCTCTTTTCTATCCGCGGCTCACTCCTTTTCCTCGCAATTTTAACATTACTCTCTTTTACCTATCTCGCCATCAAATACTCCGCTCCCGCACCTCAGGTATCCTTTCCCTCGCTTTCCTCCTTTCTGTTTCATTCTTCGATGTCAAAGTCGTTTCTTGATTTTCTTTCTTTTCCTTTTGTTCTATTTCGGAGGTTTCCGTCGCTAAACTGATCGATGCTGAAGTGAAAAATGCGGTTACGGAGGAGGAGAAGGACGAGGAATTTTCTGACATATATCACTCGCCGCATGTGTTCAAGTTAAATTACGCGGAAATGGAGAAGAAATTCAAGGTGTATATATATCCCGACGGGGATCCCAACACGTTTTACCAGACGCCCAGGAAGCTTACTGGCAAGTATTCGAGCGAAGGATACTTTTTTCAGAATATAAGAGAGAGTCGATTCCGTACTGATGATCCAGATCAGGCCCATCTCTTTTTCATTCCGATCTCATGCCACAAGATGCGAGGCAAGGTATGAGTTGTCTGTTATGAGATTTCATGATTCTGGCTATGGTGGTTCTGTGTATATATGGAGTTCTTCTGCTTGTATATTAGAACTTTTAGCACTGCAATTGCCAAATTGTGATTCTTTGCTGCATCCCAGGTGAGATATGCTCTAGGCATGCCCTTTGGAGTTTAGGAAATATCTACCTTTGGCTTTTGCCTTAGAGATCTGATATGGAAGTAGTGAGCCTTCAGTGAGGTTAACTGCGAAAATGGTTGATACTAACCAATTCATTTGCATTTGCATGATTGTTCTTTGTTTTACTCCATGCTCCGAGCCTTCAGTTTTTAGGTTAGAAAATGTCTGCCGTCGAGTTTTTCTGTTGAGATGCGAGAAGATAGTAGCATTCAGTTGGATGTAATGCAGAAAAGGGTTGATAATGACAAATGTATTTTAGATGCGACTATAACTTGGATATGAATTTTTATAGATATGACTATGACTATATAGCTTTTGACGCCCAAAAAAGAAAAAAGGGACAGGCAGGACCCCATCTAATGAAACAGTAGACTTTACTTTCTGATGTTCCTTATTAGTGATTCTTATTTAGGAATACCAAACAAGTCTGTATTATGAAGAAAATCATGTAGTTTGAGATGTGAATGGTTTGGCATAAAGATGGGGAGGTGTGTGAAATATGTGAATCCATCATGCATTCAATTACAATCCCCCCCCCCCAAAAAAAAATAAATAAATAAGATATTCCTTTTCTTTTCTTACCTCCCTTGAAGGATACTAGCTATGTTCTTAAAAATCCATGATTAAATTGTCATAGAATATCAATAAAATTACTAATTCTTCTAGTACTTGCTATAAATCTTTTCCCTGTGTGCATACAATCTCTTATTATATAACTTAGATGTGGTTTGTGCTAATCATATTTAAATTTTTTCTTGGGCCCTTAGTCCTTTATGGATATTGTCTCATTTCCTGGGTATACTTCCTTGCAATTGCATACTTTATTTCATGCATCCTTCCTGGGCTTTGTTTTCTTAATTATTATGTCATATGATGGGAAGTTGATGAATTGTTCATATACATTCTTAACAAACGGCTATGGTTTCTTTGCTAAGTAAGGAAACGCGAAAGTGCATAACAAAAAATACATACAATGTACTTCAAGTCTGGATGGAGAATTGCCTCCTTGTTCATGGGGTTTGTTCTTGTGTATCATGCAGGGCACATCTTATGAGAACATGACCATAATTGTGCAAAATTACGTGGAGGGCTTAATAGCCAAATATCCTTATTGGAACAGAACCTTGGGTGCAGATCACTTTTTTGTCACCTGTCATGATGTTGGTGTAAGGGCAACAGAAGGACTTCCACTCCTTGTAAAGAATTCCATACGAGCTGTATGCTCCCCTAGCTATGATGTTGGATTTATTCCACACAAAGATGTTGCTCTTCCTCAAGTACTGCAGCCGTTTGCTCTTCCAGCTGGAGGCAATGATATAGAAAATAGGTAAAATTTTTAGTGTATATATTTTCATTCTCACTGATGTTAGTTCCTAATTTGAGAACATATATTCAATTTAGGGCATCATTACTTCCTTGTACAGATGACTTTTGCTCCTGCTATCATTTGTTAATCTTGTTCTCATTCTTGTTATTCTTTGAGGATGGCATGACGTAATTATTTACACAACTTATAGATGCCCATGACTTCAACTTGGTTTCCGGACCATGTTTGTCAAGTTTCTAAATCCACAGTTGTATGTCAGTGACTCATTTTTCTTTCAATCTGGTTTAACAATATCTACTCATTTCTTTTTTTGAACACATGTTGATATAATGTATAAAGTGAAATGAGAGGTATTGGGTTAAGCCCAAGCCAATAGTTGTATGATAGTTGGTGCACTAGTTTAGTCTAGATTCGCTGAACTTAGTCTAGAAATCAATGCCTATATAATGGGCCTGTGAATTGGGCCAAGCTAAGTCACAAAGTATATGAAGTGTATGCGAGAGAGGGAGTAGGCTAGATGTATGGAGTATACAAGGGGTAGTGCATCAAATAAGTATGCTAAGTCGTTAGAGACCATGAGTTATATGAACCTATACATACTAGACACAAGACAATTGTAAAGTTGATGACCCTTAATGACAGGTTGCATTACTCTCTATCTCTCTCTGTGTTTCTAAACTCTTCCTCTGTTTCTCTTGAATATCTCTTCTCTCCTGCTATTTCTCTCTTCTTCCTTCTTTCGTACAGCATTCATCTATAATAGTGGGTCAGAAGGAAGACTCAAGAAATCGATGAGTGAATTTGTAGGAGAGCCTAGTGCTCTTGAATTGCTAGGAACCAGTGTTTGTGTTTTCTGTTTTACCCTAATTCTCTTATCACGGCTGCCCACCAAACCCCTTTTCTTGACTTGTTCATTATTAAATGTTAAATGAGTCTGGGAATTTGCTTGGCAATGTAACTGTGAGGGATGCTGACTTTCCTCAACTATCAATCTGAAATAACTTCATAGGTTCTAGAAATTCAGTGGTTCCCAACTTTGTCATCTCCTTCAGTTGGCCCTCTCAAATGGCAGGAATACTAATTCTGGTTACGTTAACTTTTTTGAATTTCTCTTCTGGGTCTTCAATCTCCAGATGCTGCAGCTCTTCCTCAGCATCCTCTTCTGTCGTTATGTCTGTTGAGATCTCATCTGATATTGGCCTCACTGTTTTCTTGTTTCACCTTTTATCTCCTCTTTCGCTTTCATATCGTTTCCAACATTTTCTTCCTCAATTTGCGCCTCTACTTTAGCCATTTCTTCCTCTTTCTTTTTTATATAGCTTTTTTCATTGCTTTTATTGTTTGTCTTAGCTACGTGGCCCTTTTCCAGCTTCATCTCAGTCTTCACTCTGCAATTCTTCTTTTAGGCTTCTCATTAGAAACTCCCATGGATTGCACTACTCTAACATTAAACTGATGGAACTCAAACCTCCAAATCATATTAACATTTGCAAAAATCTAACTGAGTGTAAGTCTAACCATATATCTACATAGAAAATAAGAGAAAATGACAGGAAATACACAAGCACACCGGTTCCTAGCATTTTGAGAGTGCTAGGCTCTCCCGCACATTCACTGACTTATTTCTTGAACCCGTTACCTCTTTATATATAATCCCCACCCGTAGCCTACTTTCTCACTCACACACGCCTCATATACTTTATGCAACTCATCTTGGCCCATTTATTCTCTTCTCAAAGAGTTGGACATTTCAGTAGTTTGAGTACCATGCAATTGTTGTGATAAGTCCAAGACAGTTGATTTAGCTGCTAACCTGGTCATAGACACTAAAACTAAACACATTGAGTTAGGACTTTAATTTATCTGGAAGAAGGTGGTTAATGGGATTATTCAGGTGAATTATGCCACCTGCTGTTGATCAAGTAGCTAATATATTGACAAAGCTAGGTGAAATGACTCCTGAAGAGCTTGTTCTCAGGTTATCGAAAGCTGATTACCTCTTGGCAACAGCCACTTTTATCTACTCTATCTAATCTCAATTTAAATTCTTGAATGGTCAGAGGATTTTTGTTTTCCTCCATTTAAAATCCTAAAATTTGATTCTTGGTCCTAATATTGTGAAGGATCTGCCTTTCAGCTTTTCTTGATCATGACGCTTCTCTGCCTGTGCTTCTATCTTCAGCACATTTTAGTCAGTGGCATGAAATGAGATTTTCAAAACAGGAGAGAATCAGTCATCAATTTTCTAATTTCTCAATACATGTAAAGTGACCTATAATTTTTAGGCAGGATGCTAATCCTATTGTTCTTTAGGATGGCGGATAATTCTTCCAAATGTATAATTCTATTTCAAATTTTATTTTTATATTTGTGAATATTGCAGGACAAATCTTGGCTTCTGGGCTGGTCATCGAAACTCCAAAATTAGAGTTATCCTTGCACGTGTATGGGAAAATGACACAGAGCTTGATATTTCAAACAATAGGATTAGCAGGGCTGTTGGGCCTCTGGTATACCAGAAAAGATTTTACAAGAACAAGTTTTGCATTTGCCCTGGAGGTTCACAGGTCAATAGTGCTCGGATAACTGACTCTATTCATTATGGATGCATTCCTGGTAGGCCTTTTCCCTTCTGATTGTGTTTATTTTATCTTACAGTTGCATATGAAGTACTAAAACCATACGACTTTCTGACAGTGCGAATTAGTATAAACTGATCACTGATATTTATGGATGAGACGGGGAAGGCTTACCTTGCATCCTTCTTCTTATAAAAAATTGCTGTTAGATATTGTGGACCGGTTGCCCTTATATTTAAATACACATATTGAAATGATATTTTGCATCAAAAATTGCTGTTAGGTATTGTGAACTGCTTGCACTTATATTTAAATACACATATTGAAATGATATGTTGTATGCTAAGAAACATTAGCAAACCCTATTTATATCTAGACTGAAGTGTATTTACTAGCTCCCAGGACAGGAATCATATGTTGACGTGTGAAACGAGAGAGCATCTGAAAACTAGTCATTTCAGAACTAAATAATCTATACATTATTTAATATGAAAAAGAAGATCTCATAATTGGATGACATTACTAGCTGTTCTGTGGAAGATTGGGGGGATTGAGGTGCACCACTGAATCGTCTAGGGCTCAGTTCTAGGGCCTTCCACTCAACTTCTCAGCTTCAATCACCTTAGTTATTGCCAGGAAGCTTGCATTTTCTTACCCTGCTATGTGCATGATGACAATGCTGAATTCTAGTTCTATCGTTTATGTCTAATCGTATAATTAGTGCCAAAACATGTTAGATATACACTTCAGCCCTTTTTTGTGATGACTGCTGAAGCAGCTGTGTTAGCATGATTGACATGACTTAGAAGGTTGAAGAGAATATACACACGCACGCACGCACAAGTATTGCCTTTGCCTTTTATAATGTGATTTGATGTCTGAGGATACCTTGTAATTGATCTCATGTTGAATTGATTTTTGCAGTGATATTGTCAAATTACTACGACCTGCCTTTTAATGATATTCTTGATTGGAGTAAATTCTCCGTCGTACTCAAGGAGAGTGATGTTTATCATCTTAAGCAAATCCTGAAAAACATATCCTATGAAGATTTTGTTGCACTTCATAAGAATGTCGTAAAGGTGAGAATTTACATACCACTGTATTGAGAACTTATATATTAATCAATAATCATGGTCTTTTTTCGCCAAAGGAAGAAATTCAAGTCTCGAGATTTCTATTTCGCTGCATATCCTTATTCTTGCTTAAATTAATATAATTCAGAACGAGAGTGGAAATCAAGAGAATGCGCCTGAAAACCTTTATCTTTAACATTGATAGTTAATACTATGATTTTTGTTGCCTATCGAATCATTTTCTTTCATGTATGGAATTAACGGAGCTGGGTGACGTTTGCTTTCAGGTTCAGAGACATTTCCAGTGGAACACGCCTCCCATAAGCTATGACGCATTCCATATGGTAATGTATGACCTTTGGTTGCGCCACCATACTATCAAATATTGATACCGTAAATTCATTCATTCTGTATACTTAACAGTTTTAACACTCGGAAACGTTGTACATAAAACTGTATGTTGCTTAACGTTTTACCAGTGGGGAGATTTTGATTCATTTGTTCTTACTATTTTAGGATTGCTCCCCTTTCAGGCCTATAATTTATGTATATTTTTCTTTATTTTCCTCTTCGAGTCTGCTGTAAAAGTCAGTTTTGTTGTGAAAACGTTTTGCTTTCAAGAGTTTCTGTTGTTAGTCTGTGTCTGTGGAATTATTAACGGTGGTTATAGTTCAACTAATTAATTCTGTATTGTGACCAAAGAAGACAATTAATTCTGTATTGAGTTGACCACGTTTACTGTATCTGAAAATAATGTTAAGAAGATCCCTTGCCTTAATTTCCCTAGAATGATGAGCATTTGAAATTGAATCTAATAATACCTTGTCTGGGGACCAAAGGTTAGATTTTGATGGGGAGCTTAACGATTAAAAGTAAATGGATCCGTTGGGGGTAGCTGTGGAGCACGAAGTCGAACAAGTAAACAAAGTTTGAATTTCAATACTCTTAATCATAGCTAAAGCCTCGAGGTATTTATTTATTTTATGTAATAAAACGTATGTCGTCTTTTTCAGCTTCGATAGGAGTTACAGAAAGAGAGGGATCTATCCACACACACAAAAAAAGTTAAAATGTAAATTTGTTTAAAAAATTTTTATTTATGAGCGTTTGGGTACTCAAAAGTTTTTGGATTGCTTCTAAAGTTTGAAATCATAACAATTTTGCCTCTCACCGGACTATTAGAATATTGACATTAATCATGATTATTTTTAACGATGTGGGATTAAATTTCAAATTTCATGAATTAAAAATAGTATTAACGCAATATTTAAAATCAGAATTTTTGGACGAACAAAATATATTTTATTTACTAAGTTTCACCAATATCATTATAGTAAAAATATGGGCACTAACTCGATGCATGATTGCCTACACTTAGGCGCGCTATGTACACACAATTACATTTGAATTGCAAACGATTCTCTTGCTTTGATGTTTTCAAATAAAAATGATAGACCCACATACTGTAAATTTGTTGCCATGGCATGATTGATTAGATGTATAATAATGAGAAAATTATAGAATAACCAATTATAATTGAGGTGGATGAAAAAGGACTCATGTAAGTTCAAATTATATGAATGTTAAAAAAAATATACATCATGAATCTCAGAATTTACATGACTTGATGATATATTTGATACCATGTAGCAATTAAAAAAAATATGGACTTATTGTGAAGGAGATAACAAGTTGTGGATTCTTTTGGTAACAACACTAATAGTAATTCGAAGAACGTTCAGCTCGAAATAACTCTCTGAAATACATTTTGTGCTCACACAAATTTAAGCTTAAAATCATATGTTAAAACAGTAATAATTATATTCTTTCTATTATAAGATTTATACTCTTTTCAATCCTCAATATAAGACCTAATTGATTGAGTTAGAGAGATTAAAAAAATTTTAAATTGGTGTTGTCTTTCCTAAAATATCCTGACTAATCATGTGTATTAGCTAAAAATACCATTTGATGAAACCTGTAACATGTGTAACTACTACGTGGACTACTTTGAAAAAAATATATAAATACGAAAGGCAAAATATATTAAGATCTTATATTTAGAATTAAATTAAAGGTCAAATTAGCTCTTATACTAAAGATCGATGTAGTAACATCTATTAGTAAGATACTGAAACAGTGGTAGGCTTCGATTTTTTTTTTTTCGTGTGTCCCGGTTATGATTTTTTTTTTTTTTTTTTGGTATTTGACTCGCTGTGATAAATATTCTTCAAAACATAATTATCGAAGGCTTCGGCTTTGGCTGACCCTTGACCCCAAGAATTCTTCATGTAATAAAACCTACAAAAATCAATCTTGACTGAAACAATTACTTATTATAATTCTCTCTTCACGTAATCGAATTGCACAGCAACTTAATTTCGCGTTTGGTGGCTGCTTTATATACTTGTAAAAACCCGTTTATGGTGTTGTGTTCAAAGCGTTAATAATTGAAAATCCCACAAAATAATGAACTCGATTATATATACAGGTTATAAGTAAATGCTCTTCGAAGTTCAAAAATATAATGGGAAATTCTTGGCTGACCCAACAGAAAATTCAACTGGTGAATAAGTTTCTTTTCTTGGTATGATAATTCTCAGTCAGATATGTGGAAGAGAAAAAGAATAATTGTGATTTATACAGTGCACCTCCTTCGATCAGGAAATGCAACTACAACAAACGGTAATCGGACGTGACTTTAATTTTTTGTCTAATAATAATAATTAATTAATTGTTTTCCAAAGCATTGTTTCACACTGGTGGAATTATGTTTTAGAAAACAAATAGATTACCCACAGCACAGGAAGTTGAACTGGTAAACATCCATATAAATATTATAATTTTCTTTACTTAGTCGCTTAAATTTTAACCCGAGAAATTATAAAATCGGAGTGTATTAAAAAAAAGCTATAAAATAAACCATGAGTCAAGCACCAGCTTAAACCTTTAATCTTAATATGTTAAACAATTAATAAAGACAGTTCCGTCCTCTTAACTCCTGCTACTGTAAATAAATATAATTCCCAGGACAGCCGGGATATTTCATGTCCCCTCAACTTTTGAAACCTTTTCAATCTTCCATCTTTGCTTCTGAGAGAGATTTGAAAGATTAGAGAGAGAGAGATTAGTGTTCGTTGAAGAGGAAGATACAAAGTGAGAAACAAGGAAGGAGAAGAGGCAAAATTGAAGAAGGAATACAAAGGCAATTGTGGATAAGAGATGGGTTGGCCAGTATAATATAGGAGGAGGCAAGACTGAGGTAATTAATCCACCTGCATTATTATTCATATTTTTCCTTTTTTGTTATCTTTTTCCTTATGTGATAATTAATATACTGAAAACTAGACCGTTGTTAAATCTGTTAAAACAGTATTTTAAGGATTAGTGGTATATCTGTGGATGTGGTTGAACTTAATCAATTGATTATAATTAAAATAATATAGTTTAATTAAAATGTATGAGAGTAGTATTCATATATAACTTTGGGATCATCAATACTCCTCTGCTCCGAAAAATCTCCACACACCATTTCTTAATGCAAGTATTATTACTCTTATCAGAATTATCAAAGTTAATTGCAAGACAGCGAAACCAACAAGAAGTCGCTCGCCCAAGTCGCCGTGGGCATGAACCTATAAGTCGGCCAGTGGCGAGCCTCTTTTTTTACTGTATCATGTTATTGACTAATTTGAGTAAATTAAAAAAATTAGTTAAATTAGTTATTCGTAACGAATAGATGTTGTCTTGATAAAATTTAAGATTTTTTTCCCATTAAAACATGTTGAAAATACTTTATAAATGATAGTCATATTGTGGGAGTAGAGTAGTTCATTAATGTGTCTCTAGTTTTGGATTAGGCAGCCCCCTCTGGACTGTGCCTCTCAACTCTCAAGTCTTTCGCTCTCACCATTAATCAGACGACGCACCACGTTGCTGGAGGCCGATTTGTCTCTCAGAAATCTTATTTCCAATATATAGGAGGCCATTTCCTAGCTGATAGAAGAATCAATAATTGCACTTAGCTCGGTTATGATCACCAAACACTAGTAGTGTGTGAGATATATATAAAATCTTATGGTCCAAAAAAATCATTGCCAAAAATATCCCTGTTGTTGACTCGTCGTGGGCAGGAAACTATAAGTCGGCTAGTGGCGAGCCTCTCTTTTTGCTGTATCATGTTACTGACTAATTTGAGTAAATTAAAAAAATTAGTTAAATTAGTTATTCGTAACGAATAGATGTTGTTTTTCCTAAAATATTCTATAAAAATCTATCAAGACGAAGCTGTAGGATTCAGCCGTGCATATCTGAGAAAGACAGTCAGATATTCTTCTGTCGTAGTGATACAAGCCTCAAGTAGTACTTGGCTCGTGTCTATCATGATAACACTAGTTAGTAGTGCAAAATCAGGTGTTCTATGGTTTCAGACCAGCTTCGTTATTACAAATTGGACAAAGATTACCTCCATCATTAGAAGTGCTTTATCTTTGGAGGAATATGTATGCAGACCCCTGATACACTTCCATAACTGCACAGGAAAAATAAAAACCTGTATGGCAAAGTTTGATTAATTTTATAATTCTAACTTTTTCCAATAGTTTTAAATATAATCTACTCTGTTTAAACTGATTCCTGTTGTTGTTTTAAGTGTCTGCACTTTGTAATAATTATGTTTATGTTCCCCTCATGGGCCTTCCGGCTTAAATTGGAGGGCCTTCTACATAGCTGTGTAAATTTTTTATTACTTTAAATAAAATTGTCATTTTATTTAAAAAGAATAAAAACAGACATTGTCTTTTTAACTAGAATTTTCCGCAAAACACCAATCCCCGCAGTAGTGGTTGCTGGACTTCGGCCGGGGGTGTGTTCCAGGTGGTCCTTCGCCTTCTTGAATCTCGACTTAATGCAGCATGTATTCCTTTGTTCGATCGAATCCCCTGAGGTGGGATTCAAGCCACCATTGCCATTCTGCGTGGTAGAAGAATCTTCTTTTCCATATCAGTCTAGTAAGATTGCAATCACGCATCACATGTAGTAAATCCTCTGTCATCAGTTCACATTGTCGTCCATATTTTCCACATAGCACCTGCGCCCAAAGTTCAGCAAATAAAACCAGATCATTCGCAAATATCATATGAGAAATTATAGGGTCACTTTGACCTGCTTTCATCCTTCTCCATTTTTTCTCCAACACTCTATCTAGGAGTCTAGTACCAAGTGTGTGAGTTTTTTCGTGCCTAGCACAAAAAGATAGAAAGAAATAGGATCTCCTCGTGGCAAGCCTCTAGAAGGGTTGAGTTCTTCTAATTTTTCTCCGTGCCAAACAATTTTAGTTAAAGATGCCTCACTTTTTCTTAATGCTACCTCATCACCGTTGCTGGCAGTTGGAGCTCCAACATCAAGGACCTTAGCGATAACTAGTTGTCAGAGCTTCAACGGCAGTAACTTAAATTCCTGAAGGAAAAATTGGCTCATTTACTGTAGTAAATAGCTAACTAAGTGATAAAGTATTGCAAATATCTTGAAACATCCAACTGGGAAATTTGAAAAAACATGTTGTCATTTATTAATTAAGTATTGTAAATAGTTTATGACAGTACATTTCAGCGAATTTTATAATTAAATGGTTCAAGTTATTTATAACATTTTATTAGCTATTTGCTACGCTTCATAAACTAGCATTGCCTAAACAAATCACAATTTCTGATGTTGGGGCTCCGACAACCAGCTACTAGCAGGTTGGCTATAGTTTTGGTGATAAGTCACCTAATTGGGAGGGTTTTCGTTAGTATTGGAGCTCGAGTAGCTAGCCCCTAGCAAGAAAGATGGGGCTGCATTTAAAAAGATGAAGGGGGGGTATTTTAAGTGATAGGGCAATATTATAAAAATACAAAATTTCAAAATTTCATTTCGATAGAATGAATGATTTGGAATTAATTTTGGAATTATTGAAATTTTAATCGATTTCTCATTTCTAAGTTTCTAGGATTTTTTTTTGAATTTTTGTAATAAAATACAATACTTAACTATTTAAAGTAAATCACATCATTGACAAGAAATGAATCTTATGATATCTTTTTAAAATTCAGTCTAATATATGGGAAATTCCCACTAGATGACCTCATCAAAAAATCTTTTGACAATATCCCCCTTGTAGTTTCATTAGCATGACGCTATTAATTACTGAAGATTTTGTTGGCCCAGTTTCAGAATTTACTTTAATACATGCCACAGAGTTTTTAAAATGGGTCGTTGAACATAAGAATAGGCATTCTGATTATTCTCTTATTCATACTACAAATAAGATCCTATAATTAAGACAAGAAGTAGTATAAGATGTTGGTTAAAAAAATTATGATCCAAAATATAATACATTGTTAAGATAACTAATGTGATTTTTTTTACTTTCGGTCTCTTATTAAATATAAGAAAGAGAGAAGAGAGACAAGAGATAATAAAAGTGTAGCGTTAAAAATAGTTTTATCATTTTTTAGAAGTAAAATAGAAAATTTTTATTATTTTATGATGAATTTAATGACTAAATTTTTATTTTTTGGTATGTAAAAAAAGTTAGTTAGTTTCTTATATTATGGACTGGATGAAGCATAATAATGGCAGCATTGTCATGAAGCATAATTTAAAAAGATTCTTAAATTCTGATTTTTATATTTTTTTAAAAAAAACTACCTTCGACTCTATTTATAAAAAGAAATTATAATTATATTTTAACCCGCAAAAAGTATAACAAGGGTGGTTTGGTTAAAGTTTTTGAATTTTTCGGGAAGTCAACATCTTGGGAATGCTATATTTGCTGGGAAGTACAATTATTCTATTTATTCTATTTTTATTTTTCTAATTATATTTATTCAATTTTTCTGTTTGGCATCACCTCTTCATAATATTAAGTGGATAGTTATAATTTTGCATGCATGCACCTGCATTGAACTCTTTTATTGTATACTTTGAATCTATTTTTGTAACAAATACTTTTATGCAGAAATTAGGATAATAAATATGAATTATGAAATGGCATTAAATAGTTCTTTTTATATTTTATTATAAAGAGTAAGTGCACCTCAGTTAATGTGATTAATCTCCATCAAGAGTTACGATGAACCCAAAAAAACAAAAAAACAAAAGCAACACAGTAACAAATTAATGCCAATATTCACATTTAAGATGTTAAATTTATAACAACTAATTAAGACAATTAATGTAGCTTGTTTCTCATATTAAGTGCAATGCTTGAGTAAGTAATAAAAAAAAAATTAATGACCTGTCATAAATATCTAACAATGCATGTTCTAATTATGATATCTAAAGCATTAAATATACAGAGCGGTTAATTGAATATGCCTCAGTTTCTAAGGTACAGCGAACCTAGTAGTAGTTATTACAGTTAGAAACAGAGCAACCTAAATAAGTAAGAAAGAAGATTAGTGGTTTCTTTTGTTTTTTTCTTTTTTGCTAGGAAAAAGAAGAGTAGTAAAATAATATCAGAAAATTTTATTATTAATCCATAATATTATTAAATTCATTGCAAAATTTTATCTCCAAAATTATATATTCCTTTTTCTTAATTTGCTTTTTGATATCATCATTTAAAAATTCTCCTTGCTTATTAATATTTGTAATTCTTACTAATAACATTGTAAACTTGATTAATATGTTAATTATAATTTCAAGTTCAATTGGAGCTGTCTTTAAAATTTTATATTTAATGAGAAATATCTTGTTTCTTATTAATGTTCAAAGTTTTGTTATTCATTACTAACGTTACATGCTAAAGTATCATATAATTATAATCTCAATCCGAATTGAAGTTCTATATTTAAAAATTATCACGTGTTTGATGTCAAGCAAACATCATTTCTTAATAATATTTTTTATTTTTATCATAATTAAAAAAATTTATTAGATGAATTTCAATTCATGATAAAAATGTATAGATATATTTGTATTAGTTTAGTTTATTTCCATCAATTAAAAATTTTCAAAATCTTCTCATTTTCTTTCATTTATAAAAACAAAACACAAAAAGAAAACATTAACCCTCTACTCTTTGTATTTAATTTAGAAAACATTAACTCTCCATTCTTTGTACTCCTTCTGTCTTTAATATAAGGCTTATTTAACTAATTTGATTAGATTAAAAAAGTTAGGTAAGTTAGTTAATTATAAAAAATATAACATGTGTTATCTTCCTTAATATCCTCCCTCTCTCTTTTACTTGATCATAGTTGAAAGAGTATCTATATGGGTAATTTAGAAAAAATTGATAAATATAAGAAATAGGTTTTGTATTTAGAATCAAAATCAACTCAACAATTAGTTACTATATTAATTACTGAAGGAGCATTTAATTTGGGGCATGTACAAGGAGTTATGGACTTGCCATCTTCTGAGGTCCCTCTCGCCTTTAAATACAGAGGAACCGCGGATTCTGCGTCCAATGAAACAGTACAGAATTCTCTGTGCATAGCCCCATTGCAAGCTCTGCCCCTTCCCTCTCCCCCAACCACCATGGCTTTTTGCGGCTCCTTCGTCAACTCAAGCCAGTCGATCCCTCTGAGCCGTAAAAGTCCTCCGGCTCCAATTCATGGTGGCAGAAAGCAGGTTAGCTGGCTAACTGGGCATCACTATTATTGATGAAGCTTCTTCATTTAACAGTGGCTGTTATTATTATTAACTGCAAACGTGCCAGTTCTTTGTGAGGTCTTCTGCGAATAGCTCTGACGAGGAAGACAGGACGATTATAAAGAAAGAGGATGATGGGTGGAAGATTCATTTCTCACAGCAGAAACCGGCAACGCCATTGCTGGACACTATCAACTACCCTGTTCATATGAAGAATCTGTCCACAGAGGTAAACCATTTGCCTAAATCACTGAATACTGATAATCTCTCATCTATTATCTATAACCGGACAAGACTTGATTTTTTTTTTTTTCCACATATATATGACAGGATCTGAAGCAACTCGCAGCTGAGTTGAGGGCAGATATCGTACACTCTGTTTCAGAAACTGGAGGGCATCTTAGCGCAAGCCTAGGTGTAGTAGAGCTCGCAGTGGCCCTGCATCATGTTTTTAACACCCCTGATGATAAAATCATATGGGACGTTGGGCACCAGGTTTCTCCATTTCTTCTTCCCTCTTGGTTATATTGTTCTGGTGTTCGTTTCTAAGAGAAGCAGTGAACTATTTGCAGGCGTACCCACACAAAATCCTCACAGGTCGGAGGAACAAGATGAATACCTTAAGGAAAACTTCTGGGTTGGCTGGATTCCCCAAGAGGGACGAAAGTGCTCATGACGCTTTCGGGGCAGGACATAGTTCGACAAGCATATCTGCTGGTCTTGGTGAGACATTCTTAAATCTTATTATAACAAACTGTTTTCGCACAGTAAGAGGAATTCTCAATGATCTGTTTTTGGCTATATATATGGCAGGGATGGCTGTTGGGAGGGATCTTAAGGGAAGGAAGAATAACGTCATTTCAGTGATTGGGGATGGGGCTATGACTGCTGGACAAGCTTATGAAGCCCTGAACAATGCTGGGTTCCTCGATATCAACTTCATCATCATTCTTAATGACAACAAGCAAGTCTCTTTACCAACTGCCACCCTTGACGGCCCTGCAAAACCAGTTGGAGCACTCAGTGGTGCTTTAAGCAAGATCCAAGCCAGCAAGAAATTCCGCAAACTCAGAGAAGCTGCAAAAGTAAGTCCTAGGATGTCAAATGTAAGCCAACTTTGCACCGTTACGTTAAAATTTCGATAGTGTGCGAGATTTGACAGTGACTTCGTCTGGCACAGAGCATCACAAAGAAAATAGGAGGGCAAACACATGAAGTTGCAGCGAAAGTGGATGAGTGTGCAAGAGGGATGGTCAACGCTAATGGGTCAACTTTTTTTGAGGAGCTAGGGGTGTACTATGTCGGGCCCTTGAACGGCCATAAACTGGATGATCTGGTCGACGTTTTGCAGAAAGTGAAAGCCACGCCGACACCAGGTCCTGTTCTGGTACATGTTATCACAGAGAAAGGGAAGGGATATGCCCCAGCAGAAGCAGCGGCTGATAAAATGCATGGTGTTGTTAAGTTTGATCCGAAAACAGGCGAACAGTTCAAACCAAAATCTCCTACACTTTCCTTTACCCAGTACTTCGCTGAATCTTTGATCAAAGAAGCCGACGAAGATGACAAGATAGTGGCTATTCACGCGGCAATGGGTGGTGGAACTGGTTTAAATTATTTTCAGAAAAAATTCCCAGATCGCTGCTTTGATGTTGGCATTGCTGAACAACACGCAGTCACATTCGCTGCTGGGTTAGCCACTGAGGGTCTCAAACCATTCTGTGCCATTTATTCAACATTCCTTCAACGAGGATACGATCAGGTGAGCCAAAAACTATCGAACTTCTTCAGTTCAGTGGTCATATAGTATTCTCACAGAGCCATGGCTGATCATTATTACTGTGTAGGTGGTCCATGATGTGGATCTTCAGAAACTACCTGTCCGGTTTGCTATGGACCGAGCCGGATTGGTTGGTGCAGATGGACCGACTCATTGTGGAGCTTTTGATATCACTTACATGGCTTGCCTTCCCAATATGGTGGTAATGGCTCCTTCTGATGAAGCTGAACTGATGCACATGGTTGCAACTGCGGCGGCCATTGATGACCGGCCAAGCTGTTTTAGATTTCCAAGAGGAAATGGTGTTGGAGCTGTTTTGCCTCCCAATAACAAAGGAACCCCACTTGAGGTTAAGCACATTTGTAACTCACAGATCATTATAAGCGATCAAATTATAACCTTTTGTTTGTTTTTTCCTTTGGGGTTACGCAGATCGGGAAGGGAAGAATACTGATAGAAGGAACCAGAGTTGCAATTCTTGGATACGGTGCAATGGTCCAGCAATGTCTGCAAGCTGCAAAACTGCTGGAAACACAAGGTGTATCTGTCACAGTTGTTGATGCGAGGTTTTGCAAGCCTCTTGATACTGATCTGATTAAGCAATTAGTGAAGGAGCATGAAATTCTGCTCACAGTGGAAGAGGGTTCTATAGGAGGCTTTGGGTCTCATGTTTCCCGATACCTGAGCTTGGCCGGCTTTCTAGATGGACCCCTCAAGGTAAATTATAGTATATAGTTCTTCCCCGTATTACTTTGACTTCCTTAATTATGTCACCAAGATTTCTGTCTGGTTTAATATTTCTGTTTTTAAACTTGGTTGTATAGTGGAGAGCTATGGTGCTTCCTGACAGATATATCGATCATGGATCGCCCCAAGACCAGATTGAGGAAGCTGGTCTTTCATCAAAACACATTGCTGCAACTGTCTTGTCTCTTCTGCAGGGGCCTAAAGAAGCTCCCCTAGTGTTCAAGTAAAAGGCACAAATAACGTATCAATGGCTGATCAAGGAAGTTTAAGTGGGTCCGCCATTGATGCACCTAAAATAAATAACAGAGCAATGACGGAGTGTTTTGCCTCTTATTTTTGTTTTTTTTTTTAATGCAAGTGTTTTGCCTCTTTTGTGCATCATTTGAACCGATGCAATTATTAGTTTCATGAAAAATAATAATAAAGTTGCCCTGTTTGGTTAGCATAAACAACAATGTTTAACGAATTTGGTTATCATTAATAGCATTCGATTTGTGATTTGATCTGCTTCTATTAATATCGCAACGTAATATATTCATCCAATAAACAATTTTACGTACATATATTGATAATTACGGATAATATCCATTTATACTTATCAGTTATCTAATAAAAGCTAGTACTTGTAAGACCGAAAGAATATAAATTAGGTACGCAACGTCTTAAAAAATGAGCTAAATCCTTGTACATGTTAGATTATAAATTGATTGACTCCATAGCTATAAATAAACTGCCAGAAGAATTTGTAAATTAAGATGATATGAAAAGCAATCACAATCTTGATTAATTTAATTTTCAACAATATTGAATCCATGAAGCAAATTATCATGCACAGTACAGTAAAAATCTTCAGCATTATTCTCTAACAAGAAGCAGTCCCCCTCATCGGTTCCTGTGAGCTTTGAGATAATCTAATAAAGTATGTAGGTACTGATCCTGCCTTTCTTTGTTTACAAACAAGTCCTTCATCTCTTTTATTTTTTCTCGATAGGCCCTTCCCTCGGGCTCCAGTATTACAAGCCTCAACGAGTTAGCCAACGATTCACTGGTGAACGAGCCGTCGCGCTCGTCCCTTGGAATCGAATATGCCATTTTCTTCTCCTCCAGAAGCCTCGCATTTAACCCTTGATCTGCTAAGAACGTTAAAAGCACAAGCGGTTTCTCCTCCTGAACAGCCTCCACAACCGACGTCCAACCCGAATGAGTCAAGAACCCCCCACCGAATCATGACTCAAGATCTTCAGCTGTGGAGCCCAACCGGTGCAAACCAGCCCGCGATCTTTCGTTCGCTCTTCGAACCCTTCTGGTAACGTCAAAACCTCCGGGTCAGTGGGTCCCCTCCGGATTCTCAGAACCCAGAAAAATGGCAGCTCCGACTTCTCTAGCCCAAGTGCTATCTCATTCACCTCTTCTTGACTCGGTTTCGCCTCACTCCCGAATGCCACGTACACCACCGTACCTTTTTGTTTTGCGTCCAACCAGCCTTTGATCCGCCGCCACATTTCGTTGTCGTCGTCGGCCTCGCTTTTCTGGTTGGTGTTGGGAAGTTGACCGAGAGGGAAAATCGGTTTCCGGTGGATTTCTTCAAGTAGTTGAAGCCACTCGGGTTCAAATTCCGAACAGCTCCGAATGACCACGATATCGCAGTTTGCAACACTTGCACCGAACCGATACATATCTGAAACGCCGGAGTCGTTGTCGGTGATACCATCTGAGATTTTCATGATCTCAAAGTAACGCCATGCCACGGTGGAAGGAAATGGAACCCAGGAGGGCTTGACGATGTAGTCTTCGGGCTTCGTCCGGATCAAGTCTTGACCCATCAAAGCCGGAGCTGGTCCGAGGAAACCAAGGCACGCTGCATTAAATATACTGAAGTACGCGCTTTTGATGCCGATCTTGGAAGCGATGGATCCAACCCAGTAAGGAACGAAATCGTAGAATATCCAATCGGGTGTGGATGATTCAAGGAAGCGAGTCAACGGTTGTTGCAAAGCGTCGCAGGCTAATTTAAGGTATTGAACCACGTTGTAGGGGACATCAGTGGTGGCTTCTGCGTCTTCTGGGAGATTGTCGACTGGAGGAAGTGGAAGTTCGAGAAAATTGATATTAGCGGACAAATCTGGGGACAGTTTGGGAAGACGAAGGATGTTTCTTGGGGTGGATATGAAGGTGACGAAGTGACCCTTTTGAGCTATGAGCTTAGCAAGGTCAAGGTTGGGAGTGAGGTGGCCGAAGGCCAGCCATGGGAACAGTACTATGTGAAGCTTCTCGTGATCGCTGGACATGGCGAAGAGAGCAGTTAGAAATGGTGAAGATGCTGTTTAGGTTGACGGCGCCAGTTAAATGGCTCCCCTCAGCCTCAATATATGGACATGAAATAGAATAATCAATCATTTTTTGCAGCAAGTAATATAGGATCCAAGTGGTGGACCACTTACGGGGACGGAATTGCGTGTGTTTTGTTATTAAGAATGGGCCTTGATGTACTTACTGGACCCCGGGTGTTGTGAGATAATTTTTTTATTCTATTATAATTCATATTATTAATTTTTTAATATAATTATATTATTTTGTCTTTTATTTATTATTTTCTTATAATATATATTAAACAAAAATAAATTTAAAAAATTATTAAATTTTAAAGTAGAATTAATAAGATTTAAGGAGACTTTTCTTGCTTCCGACACATTAAAAGTGGCAGGAGTGAGTGTGTGTGTGTGTGTAGAACTTATTTTAAACTATTTTACCAAAGTTAATAAGAGATAGTTAAATTATTGGCATTATCTAAAAAATTAATTCATTCTTATTAGATGCATCATCTTTAAAAATATATTTTCTTTAATACGAAAATTTTTATTCTACTCATTTAAATCGGTAAAAAGAGTAAAATTGAAAGGTCAAACATACTGAAAAGGTAATATATGGACATGAAACCAAAACAATCATCTTTTGTCACTTGCCAAACCTTTGGGTCTAGTGGCGCCAATTCGTTTTTGAGAGGAAAGCGACATGATAAATTTGCGGTGGGTATCCTTATTGAAAAAAAAAAAAGAAGATAATCTTTTGTGAATAAATAATGTTGGATAAGAATATTCTCGTGTGTTATATTATTAAGAATGGGCATCCATTTCTTTGCACTCCTGGTATATATATAATTATTTTTATTTGCTGTGTATAGACATCCTCATATCTAGAGGTGTTCACGATAGAATGGAATCGGGACATTCATAAGATTTTTTTTTAACTTTTTAATAAAAAAATCGCATTGCCATTTTGAATTTAATTTTTTTTACCATAAGTAATTAACTAAAATCGTATTAAATATAGTTTTAAGTATCCAAATAACATGTAATTGAGTAATAGCTGTGAATATTTGATTTAACTAGCAAAATAATTATGCTATTTTTTAGTTTTAACAAATAGAGATGGATTACTTGACCTTCTTTTTTTTTCATATTTCAAAATTCTTTTAAAGTAAATGTTACATGTTGAGGCCATTATCCTTAATTCTAATTAAGTCTAAATATATATTGACAAAAATATATTATCATATTGTATTGATTCGAGTTTGTTTAAATTACATTTTTAAAGGCATTTTTTTAAAACATCAAGGTAGAAAACTTACTTAAGCATGTGACTTTTATTTACTTTTTTAAACTTAATATTTATTTATTTTTGGTATTGTTATAATGGTTAAACAAAAATAATTTATAACGAAAATTAATATATATATATATATAGAGAGAGAGAGAGAGAGAGAGAGAGATGAATATATGTCCTCCATCCCGTCTCACCTCCTATGTTACCGGACGAGACAATATAAACAGCCCTTCATATTGATTTTAATTTAAGGTATAACATCTTTGGTAAAAAAAAAATTAAGAGTACTTTTCTTTTCAATTATTTTTTCATCATAACTTACACACTTGTTATAGTTTTTATAAAAGGTTTTAACTCACAATTTTATGATTAAGATTTATGTGGGGCGTTTACTATGATTGAGTCACGTGACAAATTTCTGTCATAGGCAGCTTTCTTATCCTATTTATTGAAAACTGCGGGAGATAAAATAATAAGAAAGGCCAAAAAATAAAATAAAACGATAATATAAAATAAAATAAATTGGTTAAAACATCGGCACCTAATCCCACCAATTGTCCTGATTCCTTTCGTTTCATTGGGTTCCTGACCTCATGGTTGGCATCCTGCACAAAAGAAAGCCTGCGAAAAGATATTTTTATTGGAAAAATCCCAGAAAAAGCCCTTGGAATATATCAAATCTCAGATTGGGCCCTTAAATTTCGAAAATGACAGAATGGGTCATTGACCCAATCTGTCATTTGTGAAATACAGGCGAATTGACATTTTTACCCCTGAGCAAAAGTGAGTAGTTATTCTCTAAACAAATCTAGGTAACGCTTATACTGTTCTAGTGATTACAAGATTCGTTGTAGTTAATAATAAGGTACCTGACAATAATAAGATACCTGACTATGAAAAAATGAGTAGTTATTCTTTACACAAATCTAGGTAATGCTTACATTGTTCTAGTGATTACAACATTAGTTGTAGTTAATAACAAGACACCTGATTATGAAAAAGTGAATAGTTATTCGCTATACGAATCTAGGTAACACCTAAACTCTTATAGTGATTCCTTGAATCATTGTAGTGAATGAATAAATGAGGGCAAAATTGTCAATTCGCTTGAATTTCACAAATGACAGATTGGGTCAATGACCCATTCTGTCATTTTCGAAATTTAAGGGCCCAATCTGGCATTTTCCATATTCCAAAGACCTTTTTTGGGATTTTCCCATTTTTATTTTATTATGAGATGATTTGATTGGTATTTCCACAGCGTGCATCACAGGCAAAGCATTGTATAGATTATCATTAAATTATTATTATTGATTCCACAACGTGGCATTATGGGGTTTTATTGATTGGCACTTCCACAACGTGCATCACCTGGGGTCTTTTATTCTATTTTCATAAGATTTTACTTTTTATTATACAAAAATTTCACTTAAAATAAATTAATCTAAATAAGTACGGATACATAACGGATTAAATTCTTCCATCTTGTGAATGCTTCTTGTTGATAAGCATGACTTGCAGTTATAGATTGCATTCTCGTGATGGGTTTGTGGCCTGTGGTCTCCCTCTATGTCTGCTCCATGAAGGATTTCCTTTCAAGCATCATGGGATAATAATGACAATT